TGTTCGAACTCTTACTAGAGTTCATTCATTCCTTTGAATTTCAATAGTCAACATCTGCGGCCCATATCAGCGACTGACTGGTTAAAAAATAGAATAAGAAAAAWTATGAATAAAATCAGCATTAAAATTTTAACTGGATCGAATAACTGTTGCGAAAACCCGAACATATCGACAATATTTCGTTATTGGGGAAAAAATCATTTTATTGACGCTAATTTTTTTTAGCAAAATGTCGATATATTTGTTGGAACTTCATGATCGTATTAACATTTTTTTAAGAGAACAACTTGCTTTAAATTCAAAACCTCGATCAAACGTGAGATTACTTTGGATAAATTGATCTTGTAAACAGGTATTCGAAAGTCCTTCCAATAAACTCACATTCTGTTAGTCCCATGTGAGCTTAATAACAACTAATTTTGATAGTTTGTTTGACGAATTATCTCAATATTGTCAATTTTATAGTCATGATCTGCTCTGACACACAATCTTTTCTCAGTTATTTTTTGATCCACCAACGAGCAGCATACTTTGTTTTAGGCGCTGTGTTTATTATGGAGGACAATATTAGCCTTGATTGCCACAAATTCCCTATTCTTGAAGCAAATTTCATACCCAATCTGGCAAACAGTAAGAGGCTTATACTCTACCCCCATAACAGCATTGTTTTACACATAAAAAGATAAAGTGATCTTTAATGATTTCATTGTATATACCATATATCATAAAACAAGGGCTCATTATATTGCTTAGGTCTTAGAGATCGCAGATTGTACTGTAATTACATGATATGAACTGATTAGAATCTAAAACTAGCAATTTTTTTTAGTTTAGCTGTTTTTCCTTAGTTTACTGATATCTCTCGTTTTTTTCCACTTTCGAAAACCTAATGTTTAATCACCCTCTAAATGAGTTTTCTATAAACCCAACTATTGGTCATTACTGTAGGGGTAGTCTGGACAGACTTTTACCTTATAATCATTATAATAATATAAACCGTCTTTAGAATAGTTCAGGGAAGTGAAATAAACTTTTTATAAAGATAAAGTCTTCTAAGATAAAATTAACTATATTTCTCTCCAGCATACTATATACAGGACAGAAATTATTATTTTACATATGGCTCAAGCAGCTTTTGACTTCGGGTCTTAGACCAGAGACCAGACTTAGTTCTGGGTACCTAAAGAACATCCGTTTAAAGGCGAGCTAAAGTGAGATGGCGAATCCCCTTGGATAATGTACCTAAGTGCTTCCTGATCAGGGTACATATTTTACTAACTTCATTGCTACGGCAACTATTAAACCCATACAAGCTACCATCATCTGTAACGTCGTTGTTAGTTCAGGTCAGTTTAGTTTACTAGAAGCGACTCTAAAGCTAAGAATCCACAACTTGTTTAATATTCCTGATCTACTTTGTAACATATGTATATGTGTAGAAAATTTTCGCTAGGTATCTGCCAGAAAACTTGTTACCATGAAGAATTCTCAATATCTCTAAAACAACTTTTCCAATTCTGCATTTACAGTTGAAGTTTCTCTACAGCTTATATTGGTTACATGCAATGGCCAGTTCACAGTACTCCGCTTCATTTACTTTCAGAATTTACAGTAGTTCTAAGTACACGGCAGCAAAATCTCTTAACTTGTCAGTCAAAAGTTTTTCCATTTTATTATTGTAGGGCAGAAAGTATACCCCATATAATTTTGAGAAGGGCTGCCGAATTGACAATGCTTCGACGAAAGTAAATCTAGTTTCGTTGCGATTACATAGACCCGACCGACGTAGCAACAGTGCGCAGCTACTCAAGAGCTTACGAAAAACTTGCTACTTCCAAAAGACTGCAGACGCAGGCTGACGGCCCTTGGATCCATGTTTCCAAATAGGGATCACTCAMCTCACTAGCACCTAGCAGTATAATGGCATTAGTCAAAACGGTTAGATATCATCWATTTATCTTATCTTATGGGAACTTTAAGGACGATGTAAATTCAAATTGTTTCGTGCAGTGATACTAAGTACAAGGTCCGTACACTTTAAATAGAATCTACCTCTGATGACTGACTGTCTTTATTATAGTTAACTAAGAGCCGATATATCTCAGTACAAATGAGAGCTTCTTTCACAATTCCGGAAAAGTCTAACCAGTAGTGGTACTGAATGTACTTAAAGAGCAYCAGTTTGGAACTCATGCGCTCCACTGCWGGTGTAACCCTTAGACGCAAGCTGTCGAAGTACTGTTAAGAGCGCTTCACACAGCTTTAAACTTACACACTCTCGCACCCGATGCTGTTGGCGCTTGTAAGCTGCGAAATTGGCAGATTTTCGAAGTTTGSCCACAAAAACGAAACAACAACAGCAAGTTATATTTGTATTTTATCTTAATTGCACTTTGATCTACGCAGTTTGAGTTACAGAAATTTAATTCTCAAATATGTATCTTCTTACTTAAGAAAACTATTCGCCAGTGAGCATTCYTCGGACAACTTCCGGGGGAATTTCAAACTGCTTGTTCTTTATCTGAACTACAATTCATACACAACATCCAAAGTTTATTTTTATACATTGTTTGTTAATAATTTGTTTTCTTTCTTTTCTTCCKCTTTTTTCTTTGCATTCGGTCGGTCAGTATGTGCGTCTGTCCTTCGATACACGCCCGGAATTGTTGGTGCAGCTGTTTACCAAAGAATGGAATCTGGAATTACCGAAACTTTTGATTACAGTACAAGGTGGCAAGGCGAATTTCGAACTGCAACCAAAGTTGAAAAAGGTAAGTTAACGGTTCTACGCAMTTACAACTTATTTAGTTTTAAAATGAAAGTTCACACAAAACACAAAGCAACTTCATGCGTCGTCATTACCAATGACAATTCAGTACAATTTGTATGCGTCAAAGTAAAGATTGTGTATAATATTGTGTATAATATTTTTTGGGATGCAATTGCGCTTCCTGAACCCGATGAGGATTTGAATCACCCTAGTAACGACAATTGTGTTTGTTGACGAAGTCATCATGCCAGAAATGTACATCACTGAGAAGATGATTTTTCGAATTTCCAGATTTTTCTTAAGACATGAATTTGCATAATAATTTTGCACAATTTCCAAGCACTAAACTACAGTGTAACGTGACATGATGAAATTGCTACAAATCCGTGAATAGGCATAGCCGCCATAAGCTGTCAAAGGCACGTCATACTTTTTCGTAGACGCCTTACAACTACATATCTATATTGATTACTTTTAGATGTTATAAATAACTGTAGGTGAATTAAATTACTATGTTTTCTGTTGCTACTTGTTATGAGAGTAATAAAAGTTGCCGGCTATTTAAATCTTTATAAAGGACGTAAGAACATTCGAATATCTTTCAAATATTGACCGTGGCAATATCTCAGTTGATYCATCCGTTGAGTCCAATTTTCGATAACTCGTTCGAGCATTTCGATTGGTAATTGACGAATAACACATGTGATGTTTTGCTCCAAGGTCTAAATCGAAACGCTTTCGTCCTTATAGACTTTAGACTTTTCACATCCATACACGAAATGGTCCAACGGTGTGATATCACACAATTCAGGTGGCCAATCGAATATCAATAAGTCCATTGATTGATCCGTTGTTTGGGTAGTGGCACCATCTTGTTGAACCCAAATATCACCGAGATATCAAGGCGCGATAACGGTCGCCATTGACGGTTACGTTCTCACCGGCATTGTTTTTGAAGAAATATGGATCGATAATTCCACCGGGCCACAATCCGCACTAAACCGTTGTTTTTTCTGGATGAAATGACCATTGACCCAGAAATGGGCCTCATTGCTGAACAAAATTGGACTCAAAAACGTCGGATCTTCTGGGTTCTTTTCAAGAGCTCATCAAGCAAAGCGATGTCGTTTGAGAAGGTCGAGCGGCTTCAATTCTTGCACAACGTAGCAACGGTAGGCACAAGTATGCTTTTAATACAAGATCAAAATGCGCCAAGTCGTTCCATACATCAGTCCGAGTTCCTGCGAACTGCGAAGCACGCGAAACACATTTTTTCCAGAACGTAAATTTTCGTAATAACGTTAAACGATTTGTAAACGTTGTTTAGATAAGAAAAGAAGAGAAGAAATGACAACTGAACAAAAAAAAAAAAAAAAAAACACATGACAGCTTGACACGACTCACTCGTGATCTTTCACCAAATGGCTCACTGTGATCACTCCGACTTATAAGGACTGCGTAAAGAGACATTTTGCTWGCTTGGAAGCTAATTGTATTCAAATTATATTTGAAATAACGGTATTTGGTGCAATATAGATCCCGTCCAAGGGGCGGCATTAAAATAATGAGTAGGGATTGAGTTGTGCTAGTTTCTGCTAAAAAATTTGTGTTTATCAAAACTGTCAAGAGAAATAAATAAGAAACTCTGGGTTTGAAGATATATTTATGTAAATGATGGATTCAGAATATTCGAAACTATGAGCATAGTCAAGCAACAATCGGAGAACATGTAAAGTAGTTACACGTACCGAACCTCTCACGAGTCTGCTAAGTAGACAAATTCAATAAAACTCTTTTGCAAGATAACCTCCGTATTTAACGCTAAACATCAATAAATGTGAAAGAGTGTCGAATCCACAGTTGGGTTTTTAGGGGTCTCGTCTGAACACTGTAAACGATTTTCGAACTGTTTCAAGGCGCTTGGCAACTAGTAATTTTATATTTCGATATCTTTTTCAGGAAATTCGTAAAGGTCTTTTGAAAGCGGCGAAGACGACGGGAGCATGGATATTTACAGGCGGTACAAATACAGGTAACCAATAATTCCAACATTAATATAACTTAATTTTTCGAAATTACGKTATAATTAAATTAACTTTGATCCTTAAAACGAGAGTAGAACTTAGAAGATGTATATAACGGTCCTACTATTAGGGCCCTATATATGAACGSATTCTTTTCATGCTATACAAGCAGCAGTGAAGACTGACATTTTCTATGCATGTATTGAGTCAATGAATTTAACTCAGTCATTCTCACCATTTCGATTAGTTAATGTTTCCTGAAATGATTGAATATTGAGTTTCATTTAAAGCCATTTATTTACTCCACCCATAACATATAAGTTTTATCATTCAACGTCGAAAAAATTTCAGAAAAAGCTTGCAAATTGATTTCTTCTAGTATCTCATTACATTCGCTCGCCTTTTCTTTTAATTCGTACATTACTACTTTGACTTGTTTACATAGGCCTTGGCTTGGCCGTACGGATTAAGCCTAATCAAGATAAGCTCAAGTGGTATTATTTGTGTCTGCATATTTATTTACTTTAGCACATATCGTATCAGCGCATTTATTTACCCGCTGTCTTCAATTGTTGATTTGTTGTTTACTCGCCTGTCTTCTCACAACGGACATCAGCCGCACCGAATCGGCTTCGACGACTTTGTGGCTTAAGCGACTCATTGCTGTCGACTATACTCTTCTAACTAGCATTTGCTATTGCACTTCGTTTATTTTTATACATACATACATATACGAGTGCGGTGGGATAAGACTAGCTTTTCCCTAAACATCGTGTTTGGAAATAAAATATGTACGTCTAAGGTAGCTAAAACTAGTGGGTCTAAGCGGATATTTCGATCCAAATAAAAACTCAAAAACATGCTTTGGTTCAGTCCGGGTGTTTAAAATTGTTGAAATAGGTATTGTCTTCAATTAACGATTTGACTGATCTATGAGGGATGCCACTTTTTGTGTTTTATTATCGGTTCTTGAGCTGGCACAATAGGAACAAAGTTGGGTAAATCACTTGGAGCCTTTGAAATTGCCAAACAACATTTAAATGACTAGCTGCTAGAAAGTTCATGAGATATGCTCTTGAGTCCGAAAGAAAAGCCGATGATCGGTAGCTCGAATAAGATAAGCGGTGCGAAGATTCCCATAGTTTTGCTTTAATGYACAGAGAATATATGGAAAATATCAATATATTGTCAAACACATCAATTATGGGAAAGCCTCATGCTCAGTCGTCCATAATTCGTAGCGAATGACAGGAGAATTTGTGTGACTCCAAATCGACGCGATATCAAAGAGGAGTGAAGGTCGAACACTAAATACCCATAAATTCTACACGCTGTTCGATGATTCCTGAATTTATTCATTATAGCGTCGGTCGGTTGTGGTATCTGAAACTCTTATCAAGTTAATCATAAAACCCCTTATAAAGCGACAAAGCGTGAGTTGGTGTCTCCTATTTTGCCGAAGGTATACATCCCTTGATGTTTCAAAATCAGTCTTGCAAAGGGTGGGAAATGCATGTTTCCTTCCYAGACCGACTGGACTAGAACTTCGTTGGGATATCTTTCAAGGACTAGGTTTTTGAATAACGTTTTCCTATTAATCAATTTCTGCTAAAGAAGCAATGAACATCTTTATCTCGAAATAAATGAAAAAGTAGTTAAAGTAGAGTTCCACTTCACTACTCATTAACACAAGTTCTTTTTTTGAGTATATTCTTATTGAAAGTTGGCCCAAAAGATGATACGTTTACCATAAGCGGACTATTGCACAAAAAGCTTTTAATTTCTTTTAGCATATAGAACCATAAACAATGGTTTGATGAAGCTGAAAGCTATTCTCCTGGAAGTATGGATAGRCACAAATTAACGGAATGGAGAGTAGGATTGCAAACTTCGGACCTTCCGTATATCCATTATAGTAAAACTTTGTTACTCAAAGACTACAACTGATTACCCACAGAAACTTTCCATTAATTGCCAATAGCGCAAAAAGTCACCAGCTTATCGAGCTTTCCTCAYATACAGCTACGTCCTTAGCCACCAATAGGCTTCTTTAGTATTAAACAGCTCTAATGTTGGTCGGCAATTTATTTATTTGACGTCCGGTTCAACCTTCATTCACTCAATCATTCCTGATACCGGCAATGGCMGTGGCCTTAAATAGTTKGTACATCATCTTATTTACATAGTCTTTGTATGTAAGTGGTGTCTACAAACACCATTTACCCCGTGGGAGCTGTCACATTACATTGAACAAACTAAATCCAACTGAAAGCTCTTGGCTTGTGTAGCTAAATCGCTTTCGAGYAATTTACCACATCCATCTATTTGATTTCTTTTTGTATTGTGTATTTAAGGATTCATTTTCTCACTACCACCACTCTCTTCTCATTCCAAACTCTCCCTCTCACTCTATATTTGCAGGTGTTACGAAGCAGGTGGGCGATGCGTTGTTGCTGGAGGGTCAGCAGCGGAGTGGGCGTGTCGTTAGCATCGGTATTGCACCCTGGGGTATAGTGGAGCGTAATCATGAACTTTTGGGGCATAATCGAGAGGTGCCCTGTCACAGCATAAGCTCACCGAGGTAAGTGCACAAGTRTGCGTCTGTGCGTGTGCGATTTGGCGCTTTGGAGCACATTAGAGCAACAGGGGTCAATTGCCTTGTCGCTTTAAACATTCTATTTATATACAGTTGTGACTATGCAAATTTGTGTTGAGTTCAAAATCTCTACACGCCTTAACGGTAATAGTGTKTRCAGGGCAACAGGCGCCGACAGCAGGCTCCATAKTAACTCTCATGGCTGTGGTCGTTCGTCTGTTGTTTGGTTTGTTTGCTGAAAAGCGCTTATGACACCAGRATGGCCACCAGGTGTTGCCACTAAATTGCTGTTTTACGTGTTGACTTTGAACCCACCGATRTTTGCATTAAATTTAAATATTTTTTCTATTTCTTTGTTATGTAAAACGAAACGTTTTGGCCGGTTACTTATATTAGCTCTATCTATTCACTCCCGCTAGGTCCAAATTAGCTGTGCTGAATAATCGTCATGCTTACTTCCTGCTGGTCGATAACGGTACACAGGCAAAATATGGCGCTGAGTTGATATTGCGACGAAAATTGGAGAAATTCATATCGAACTTGAAGCTACATCCATGTAAGTGTATTTGTATTAGTCTGTAAGTAGAAATAAGGGGGCACAAAACATTCAGATTAATATCTGATATATATATATTAGATGTTGTGCAAAATTTAAATAAAGCTACTAAAAAGAATTTCAAAAGCTCCACATAAAGCACCGAGAATTGTTGACAAAGGTTTGCTGTTCTTCTAGTGGCAGGAAACTTTCCTGAACCAGTTTCGAGGGATGAYGCCAAGTTGGCAGCGATAAGTTACGGGTCCGTTTCCTGTTACTTAGACTCGACTTTGGTGGTAACGGAACAAAGGTTTGTAGTTTTCCACCGTCACACATATTCAGCTATTCAGCAGTTCACAGAAGATGACTCTAAAATTGTTTTAGCCTATGTTATATCATGACTTAAGAATGTGAAGCTGTGACCAACTAATAGAAGGTGACTCGCCTAGAACCCAAACAAAAAGTGAAAAGTAAGGTTCTTTCCCTCCCTTGATCAAACTGTAGCTAGAGAAGTTAYACAATTCTGAGTTTAAGCTGTTTGCTGTAACAAATAATCGAAGATAAARGAACTCAGTCAACAACTTGATAGGACTTCGAGTTGATGTGACCGTAACCCTATTCTGAGTACCACTCAAAGMATTCCAGCGCAGAATAATTGTTCGGTAAACAGTTTAGAGTGATAAATTCCACATTAATGGTAATCGGATAGCAGTCTACATAGTGCCGCAAATTAAATACTTGAGGGTGGTCGCATACACAAATCACCCTAAMACCTACTCATTTGAGTAAAATATTTTTGCGGCGAGCTATATTTTCTATCCGCGAAAGAGGAAATAGTCGCTGGTGTCAAAATTGGTGAATTTGTGGGAGGCGAGCTAAGGTTGGGTTAGGTTAGGTTAAGAAATCGATGGTAATAGGGATCTCACTTAAACAGAAGAACACCGGTCCATTGCGCTACCTAAAACTCTGGTATTGTAGGTCAGTGATCCTATCACGAATTTGGTTAAACGTACTGTCAGTTTCGTCTCTATGTCTCTTKGTTCGTCGAAGGAACGACTGTCGGAATATTTCAACCCCAGTTTTGCAAAGGCTGAGCGGAGGAAAGGAGAAAGCCTGAATGTCTCCAGCTTACCCTCTTCCATACAACTTTGATAAATTGAGACCGATAAGATTATTAGGCAAGATGCCAATGGAAAACTAACTCTGTCTATTCTAATGTGAATACGGCGAGGATATTCACTTTGGCTAGCTCATCGGCTTTGCCGAGGAGGACGGACATTGCTTAACTAGCTGTGAGCGTACAGATGCTGAACTCTGCGCTAGCATTACAGAACACTCTCTGTGCAACCTTTCCTTCTAGCTGACATTGCTTAACTTGTAGAACACTCTCTGTGCAACCTTTCCTTCTAGCTCCGATCTATCCGTGAAAAAGTTCATTGCCTCTGTTCTCCAACGACTCCTCTCATTGCACCAGAGATGCCTCTGAGTGCCGCTTCTTGTATACATTCAAGCTTCTTAGCAAGTGTAGTATTGCCTTGATGCCTTGCCAACCAATGGCTTCCTTACTCTCATCTTCATTATTGTACCTCAATGAAAGCTTTCTATCAAGTACAAGTCATAGAAGACTAGTTTACAGGTAATTCCTGTAATTTATCGGTTATGCCACAAGCTGAATTAACGATGATGTACAGAAATGTTGGATCTATTGTGAACAAGGCCTTTTCATTTGTAAAACTACATGAAAGATCTATGCGCTCCTCTGAAATGTTATTGACGTCGTCTGTCGATGTCCGGAATCAGTCTGTGGGTGCACCGTCATTTGAGTGAGATTTCCTGCCATATTGTGAAGCTCTTGACTCTCTATTCTTCTTTTGGCTCCTATATACAGCTCTGATAACTTGAATACCTGCTCGTATTCGTCACCATAGATGTCAATGGGCAACATATGGGCGTCAGGTGATATTGGTCGACAACCATTGCATTTGTTAAAGAAATTCCTTCTGAAATGCTTAGAGCCTGATCGAATGAAAATCTTCCGATAACCGTGATTTCAAAAGATATACTTATATTATTTAAGCTTTAATGCTCAACAAAAARACCATTAATTCTTCCGCAATATAATATTTGGTTAGATGCTAATAGCCCTTAATCTCTTCATAYATTTTGTTGAATAAAATATCCATTGTAGTCCTTGTTCTTACTTATTAGATTRCAAATGTTGCCTCCTCCATGGGAGTTCTTTATTTGCTCCCACAATAGCGACTTATCCAACTCGTAGAGKAGCAAATTGATTTGCCATTATCGTGCGTTCTGTGTCGTTTCATTTTTCAATGCGACTTTTATTCAGTAGCCATATCAATTTTGCACACCCCGCCGCCCATTATGCCCGCGTCAGCAAGCATTATGCCACAAGTGTACTCGAGAGTGGTTGAGTCCACAAGTGCTTGTATGTGTTTATGTATTTCTTTATGTTTACACGCGCACACACGCACAGTCATATGTAGTTGTGTTAGTGTTTGCCTTGCATTGTTTGCCTGGCTAATGTTGGCTTTGGCTTCGAATTGATTTCATCTATTTGCGCCAATGCTGCAATTTTTCTTCCGCTCTGATTTTATTCGGACCGAAATTCAATATTTTATTGTTCTTGTAGTTTTTATTGTATATACACTAGTTGGTTTACCGGTTGGTTGGCTTGGCAAGCAGGAAGTAGATGGAAATGTCACTTGTGGTTACCGAATGCAACGCTGAAACGAAAAGACGCACACACACACACACACATACACTAAACACAAATACCCACATGGCTCCAAGCGTGCACACAGAGGCACAAATTGTTTTGGGAAAATGTGCAGCAACTTGTCGCATATGAGCATGTGCTGCTCYGCATAATAAATAGCTGCACATGGGAAAGCCTCCACTGTCGTCTGCCATTTCTTGAAAAGGAAGAAAAATCCATTTGCTTCGCCTCATTGATTGCCTGAGTTGCCSGATTGATGCAGTTCATATTTCTTTATGTTAAATTTTATTAAACGAGCGTGTGCTTTTTTTATGAAGAGTGCGCTTTTGCTTGCCGGAATATTTCATGTTTCATATTTTTTGCTGAACATGTTAATGGAAATAAATTTTTATTCCACATTTACTTCAAGGCAGTGAAAAAAATTAGGTGTCAAATATTTTTCCAAGCGCTTTTGAGTATAGAAACAGTATGGTTGGGACTCTAAAGGTACATTGTTCTACTATAAATATGKTGTCAGTGAATATCATCTCCAACAGTAGGTTTTAAAACTATTGCATTTCTTCTTCTTTACTGGCGTAAACAAGGCGAATTATAGCCGAGTTAACAGCAGAACGCCAGTCGTTTCTTTTTTCGATTATTTGGCACCAATTACAGATACAAAGTGCAGCCATCCTTCTCCAACTGATCTCTCCAACGGCCTCTGCTCTGCTTTTTCTTCGCCAGCTACCACCAGCGGGTACTGATTCGATCCTTCAAAGCTGCATCCGGATAGCAGCAGATTCTTGACGAAGCAATATTCGCGATTTTATTCCATTTTTCGACCGAGATGAATATATTATATTAAGTTACTATAAAAAACTCGTATGTGAAAACGTTCTGTGTGGATAACACCAAATATGTCAAATTATACTATAAAGTTGCGACCTTACGACTTTATTATATATTGACAACTTGTTTAAGACTCTACACGAAATTTTATATTTACTACCCGAAACAGACTTGTTCTGTTAGCAACTTGCAGTAAAGTCAACTCTTAAACTAAGGGACTCCTATTAGACACCTGTAATAAAAGGCATTCTAGGATGCTTTGTTGGTTCTCGTTTCTACCCACTACCACGTACTTTCAGGTTCCTTTTGGAAATCCTTTGTACTSCTTTCGAGAGAAGAATGGGGAAGGGGCGAGGTGGACTGAGACGCAGATATAAGCGCCAACATGGATGCATYTAAACCAGATATTCTAATTGGAGGTGGAAGATGGTGTCGTTTCAGCAAAATTAGATACTAGAATCGCCTAACGTTTACCAAACCAATTCCCTACCTTCTAACCGCAGATCACAGCAATTAAAGAAAAACAAAGAAACCAAGGAGTCCCCAAGGGTTTCGTTAAAGAGTCTCGGCAGAGTCAATCACTAAATTGCTTAGAAAGCAGACAAGGAAACTGAGGCCCCCTGACTACTATTACTGGCAGATGCGCCAGCAGGCTGAGAACATCATACAATGACTTTCGACTTTTTTTTGAACAGTATCTCTTTCAAGCGTTGGTCGCGGCTACGTCTCAGATGGTTCATTTTCTTCTTCTTCATTATTGGCGTAGACACCGCTTACGCGTTTATAGTCGATCTAACAACAGCGCGCCAGTCGTTTCTTCTTTTCGGTACGCGGCGCCAACAAGCGAAGCCCGGTCCTTCTCCACCTCGTCCTTCCAACGGAGTGGAGGTCCGCCTCTTTCTCTGCTTTACCCGGCGGGTACGCGTCGAATACTTTCAGAGCTGAAGTGTTTTCGTCCATTCGGACAACATGACCTAGCCAGCGTAGCCACTGTCTTTTATTTCGCTGAACTCTGTCAATGCCGTCTTAATTCTCGTACTGCTCATCATTTCGTCGACTGCGGTGTGCGCCGTTGAAAATTCGCAAATGACCAAAAATCCTTCGCAGAACTCTTCTCTCAAAAACTCGCAACATCGAGTCATCAGTTGTTGTCATCGTCATAGCAGGACGGGAATTGTGAGTGACTTGTAGAGTTTGGTTTTTGTTTGTCGAGATAGGACTGTGCTTCACAATACCTACTCAGTCCGAAGTAGCACCTGTTGGCAAGAGTTATCCTGCGTTGGATTTCGAGGCTGACATTGTTGGTGGTGTTTACACTGGTCGCCTTGTCTGAAACCTCGTTTGGTATCGAACGGCTCGGAGAGGCCCTTCCCGAACCTGACGGAGTTATTTGTGTTGCTCAACGTCAGTTTACACAGCCGTATTATTGATTCGTGTGCGCATTTCAACTGGTAGCCGGCGAATGATACGCGTAATATTTTGCTGTAAGGCCTAAATCGAAGTGGGATGGTCCGCATAGACTTTAGACTTTAAATATCCCCCCACAGGAGGAAGTGTAACGGTGTGATATCACACCATCGTGGTGGCCCATCAATTAGCCCAAAACGTGAAATTATCTGCTCACCGAAGTGTTCTCTCAATAAATTCATTGACTAATGCTACTTGTGGGAAGTGACGCCGTCAAAGATCGCGAGATTCAATTTCAGGCAACATAAGTCGGTTATCATGGCGCGACAATGGTCGCCATTGACAGTTCTCACTTCTCAGCAGCATCATTTTTGAAGAAATATGGTCAAATTGATTGGACCGGCCCACAAACCAAATCGTTGTGTTTTCCGAATAAAATGGTAGATCTTGAATCTCTTCAGGTTGCCCTTTGTGCCAAATGCCTGAAACGGTCTGAACCAACTTTACTGACSATTTTTCTGACTTAGATAATAAAATTAGAGTGTATTTGATTTCAAATTATTAGGTATTCCCATTCTATCATCTTCCCAATATTGAAGTACCTACCGTTAAAAATCTAATCAAGACCTTAGTAAGAATCCACATTTCTGAGTAGGCTTTGCCTTTGCGATGTTTTTTTTATATCATTCCAAGTCGTTCATGGGATTCGAAAAGAATAAATAGTTGCTTTAAGGGGTTTAGACCCACATTTATTCCAGGCGCTTCTACGTACTTACTTTACTACTATCTACWTTCGACAAATTTCCGGTATGCGTGTATCCTCGCTGCCACCTCACAGTCATCACCGGCAATGATACGCATGTATTATGTGCATTTCGACAGAGAAAATAAAGCGCAACGGAACCACTGGTTAATGCAAATATTTTCGTCATTATGGCTGAAGTGCACATATGTGGCGTGCGAGCTATTTGTCAAGGCTCGAAGGATTCAGCGCATCCCGCATGCAATGAAGCGACCCAATCTGAAGTGATGCGAAATGATGAGATGTGTGGCATGCGGCAATGAGCTGCCAAGTGCCKCAGTGACAATGAGCCACTGAGCAATGCGCAACAACAAGGCCAAACGCATGCAAAAACAACAACAACAGACGCGTAATTCGAAATGACGGCATTTGGATTGAATATGTCAGCGGAAATAATAAGTTGCTCGGCACACTGACTGCTTTGCTTTCGGAAAGTGGGACTGCATTTATGCAATAACRGTACTTTTACGCTTGTCTGAGCGCTGTTGCAAGTCACGGGATTTACGCAATGCATATCTGTTGCTCTCACACGCATATTTCYACTTGATCAAATTGTCGGACTGACTGTCGTGAAATTATCAGCCGGGCCAAGGGTTGCGAAAGCTTTAAAGGGGGGGTGGGGAAGTTTTTTTGTAAGCTTTTAAAGCTCTTCAGTAGCCATTACGTGTATATTGCCGCAATTTTTAAATAATTGTCTGTAATTTAAATTTCTTATCTCTATTTTTGACTCACTCTCACTGTCCTTCCTCTCTCTCTCTCTCTCTTTGCAGTTACACATTCCAGCACACCGGTCGTCTGCCTGGTTATCGAGGGTGGCACAAATACGGTACGTGCCGTGCTTGAGTACGTGACGGACACGCCACCAGTGCCGGTGGTGGTGTGCGATGGCTCGGGTCGTGCGGCCGATCTGATAGCGTTCGTGCACAAGTAAGTCAACTATCATATGCCCTCAGCTATCAGCTATTAAATTCTCCCCTATTCAGTATAAAAATGCATTGAATATTCCCTAAATATGCTTCCCAACTACAAACGTATGTTTGTACGTTCGGCACCTYTGTTGGTCACGGTCATCCATTTAGCTTTTGGCTTTGAGCCCAATGGCAATTGACTGCTCTTGGCTGAGCGCACTTAGTTGAAGTTTCGTAGAATTATCTCTAATTGAGGTTAAATTTGTAACGGTTTATGTGTAGGTGGGCATAGCTCGCAAATTGTTGCTTATTGAAGTAAGAGAAGAGCTTTCAAAAAAGGTCGACTAAAAGTTTTATTTCTTTAATTAAAATATTGTGTGATTTTTTTGGGTGAGACTACGAAATGACCAAAGACATACGAGACAATGTTTAATATCTTATAAGGAGCATAGGAAATAAGAAGTCTAATTAAATTTTTCATCKGGGAAATTAATCGCATAAAATTCATACAACAACTTGATTTTCATCGAAGAGTTTGTATGGCAGTTGTATACTATACTGTGGTTCCATATCGCTGGTTCCGACAAATAAACAGCGTCCTGGAGAAGAACGTGTAAAATCTGTGGGACTGGTTCCCGTATGTACTGATAGATATATACAACTTTACCTAACCTCTCCTAGTCACTGGCCCGAAGCAAAAATTCCCGGATAGATCCTCTATCAACAAAAATCAAAATAGTATTAATCATCAACTCGTCTTCTCACATACCGTAGTTTTGCAAAGTGTTGACTAATCCTGATCACTGCCTTGTAGCGATACACGCTCGCTGAATGAAGCTACAGATCGAGGAGAGTTCAGAAAATGTCTAGAGCACCAGGGAAACAATGGCGCATCTCTTGTGCACTTGAGTCGCATTAGCAAAACTGGTGGCACCTGGAGACCCCACGGTATGATACACTTGAGGAGGTATCGATAGCGAGGCCATAGAGTCTGTTTAAATTGGTGTCAAGCGCAGCCATTCTTAAGAGCGACTACTCCTTTTCTACCTAGTAACTGAGTCCATCTGATACCGCAGAGGGCCGAAACTGGTCTATGCGTGGAACATTTTCCTACCAGACTAACCTAACTTGACTTAACCTTTGGGTAATGCTGAGGCAACACTAACATCTTTTTCCATCTCTCTTTGACATTCTCTAATATTCAAAGACATATTATGTATTGCTTTGTTGATTCTCTGACGTTACAAAAATGGTATATTTCATTGTCCCGGCTAAGTGAAAAGGTCAGTGTTCTATAAGGTACTCGATTTTAAGCTTCAACACTTCCGATTTACCAAAAGCTGATCCAGCCTGGCTAATTTTCATAAATCACTTTATTACCAATCAGAATGGATTTGCGATGAAGTAGATTGCTCCATCTCCAATTAAATGGTGATTCATAAATTTTTCCAGGTATCCATACGCTAACTTTTTGAAATAGCTAGAAGCTACAGAAAAGCTTATCGCCATCTTTAAACTGCGCTTCAGTAACAATAAGTGGATATTTTAAGCATTTTCCATCGCCGCCCCACAATAAATTCAAACGAAAAATTAGCATTGCAAAATTTGCATTTCACCTTAAACCGCGAAGGCCACAAAGACCACCGAGTTGCCAACTACTTACGCAGCTTTGCACTAATTCATTTGCAATTCAAAATTGTTGGCCTACTTGTTAGACATTTGTTCAGTTGCGGTGGCGGTTAGTGCGGTCCACATTATTATCTATTTTATTGTTGCCGTTTTAAGTCGACTGTTTGGATCCACTCCAGCATAATTACAACAACAACCGCTTAGACCAAAATACTTAATGTAGAAATTCAAATGATTCGACATCATCCGCAAACGTCTCTAATCAGTTGCAGGCGTCGTGAGCGGTGTTACTAAGAGAGAGAGAGTGGAAGCTGTGTCCAGCTTGTCACTCATGTTGTTGATCCTGTTGTTCAACATGCAGGCGATATATTTTATGTATAAAACTACTAAGAATGTGCTGCTATAATTTCATGTGTAAGTAGTTCTCCTTGCTGCCGTGTTAGCCGTGAAATTTGTAGCAATTAAGTAAAATGAATTCTTTCACTCTTGGCGCCCCGCTCGGTGACGGATTATATGTGGGTTATGGGATGACGTTGTATCTACTTTGGACGTCATGTCGTTTGTTGTTGTTGCATACACATATACAGACATACACAAACATATCTGGTATTTAATTAAATTTTTTGTCATTTTACTCGATGCAATTAATTTAAACTGTGGGTTGTCCTTGCGGCAGCTTAAAACGAGTAGTAAATATACATACGTCTTTAGAGCTTTTGGAGTTTACGATGAAGTTACTAAAAATATTAAATATTTTCATGATTTTAATGTTACATTTTTTTCGAGAAATCTTCATATATATTATTAGTAAGCTTTCAAAGCTTGTGAGTGGAGAATTTTTCGGATATTGAGTGTTTCTGGTAAAATCTTAGATAATATTAAATAGTTACCCAAAGCAAGGAACTATAGGCCACTGTACATTATTAGTAGACTTTCTAAAGCAAGCCTGACCCTCTGTCCGACTGTATATACATATATGTGATTGTCCCTCAGTTTTTAAAATATCGATCTGAAATTTCGCACCAAGAAGGGGCTGCGCAGTTGTAAGAGCGGCTAATATCAGACTACTATGTATAGCATAAAGCTTGCAATGGAAATTTTTTTCATTTGACGAAATATCTTCACAAAATTT